AACAAAATTAAAAATAAATTATTTCGAAAGAAAACAAAAATTTTAGACTCAAATGAAAAAACGTCAATAATTAATAGACAATTTATTAAATTAAAATTATTATTTTTAAATTTAAATTATAAAAATTATAAATTATATATTTTAATAATTAAATCAATGAGCATTATAAAGTATATTGAATTAGAGAATTTATCAATCCCTTCTTTCTTTTATTTTTATATTTATTTTTGTGGAACTTGAAGGAAACAACTTGAGTGAGGCCGTGCGAACATGCATAGAGCCCATTTTCGGCCTAAACCACAGAATTTTGTGACCCCATTAAAACTAACGAATAGAACCAAATGGGCTCGCAGAATGGGCTTTTGATTCAGTATGCAGTCCTGTTGAGTTTGCCTGGGTTTTATAAAGTTCTGTTCGTGACTGACATGACGGGCCCAGTCCAAATCAGTGAATCAACAACGGTTGATTGTTTTACTCACAAAATAGAAATTCAGGCGATTAATCCAAAACTCAAAAGCATGCCCCCAGATTAAATGGTAGTTTAAACCAAAAAAAAAAAAAAAAGGATAAAAATATTTGTCTCTTAATGTTTTTATACGCATATCTATGGAATTTTAAAAGTATACATTCGACTTTGAGTAAATTGGTTGATTGGTGTAGTTTTAAAGTTTTATAAACCGAACACCTTGTTAATTTAAGTGGTCATTTTTTTTTTTTTTAAAGTAAGAGATCTTGAGTTTGAATTACATAGCATACGGGTAAAGTAAAATAAAAATTTTTCCTTTATCTTTACCTGCCTTAAACTAAATATACACTTGAAGGAGAGGGAGAACGAAGAGGAGATGTCTTTTTCTCTCCTTTAGATTACTTATTTTTTAATAGAAGGGGAGAAATGGAACCTCTTTTATTTTTTATCTTGTATTGTTGTAAATTAAAGGAGTTATAAGAGATTAACTCTACATATTTAACCTTTTTTTTTAAGAAAATGAATATATAAAAATATTTTATTTTTTAATTAATAAATTTGAAAATTTTTTCTTATTTATTTTTCACAAATTATTTAATTAAACAAAAATATTATCATTCTCCCTTTTTTTTCTATATGAATAAAACAAACATAAATTTTTTTCTTTCTTTTACTAATTTTTATTCAAACAAATACTTAATTTTTCATTTTCCTTACCAATTGTTGTTGACGGTAACGTGACTGTGGAATCCAACCAACTAATGGATGGGGTCTACATCCTGTCTTAATCTTCTTTAATCCGTCACGTGGTATTAAAAGCTTCTAGATTTCCCACTGATGCAACCTTTGAGGAGAAAAAAGGTCTTAAAGCGCTCCATATCGTTCCGGATTTAAAGGCTTTACAAAGTGGAGGGTTTATTTAAGTAAACGATAATAATTGGTATATTATTTAATTAAATATATTTTATAATATATTTATTAAATTAAAATTATTATTTTTAAATTTAAATTATAAAAATTATAAATTATATATTTTAATAATTGAATCAATGAGCATTATAAGGTATATTGAATTAGAGAATTTACCAACCCCTTCTTTCTTTTATTTTTATATTTATTTTTGTGGAACTTGAAGGAAACAACTTGAGTGAGGCCG